TCAGATAAAATAATGAAAAGATGGTTTTTTTTCTGCTCGTGTGAGGTACAGACAGTAAAACATACTTATACTTCCTGAATGCTGCAGCCAAAACAAGGAGACCTACTGCAAAAATGGAAAGAGAATCTGCTCCTTTCCACCACCATCAGAGAGGTCTGCAGCCTGCTTGAATACGTGTTTTTGGTATAAATTAAGAAATTCAGAAAAATTATGAAGTGGGCAAAGGATCCAGGAGACAGAACAACAGAAAAATTACAGAGTAGTCTGCCACAGTTTTGAATATTATCACAACCATTCCCTGAACAAAATGAACATTTAAAACAATAAATATTAACTCAGGACAGACAGAGGCACTGATGGGGACACCCACACACTTCTCCCCAGGAGTGAGCACCTCACAGGTAGGTCAAGGCAAACCACCTTTACCAATAACCATATTTACTGAAAGCAAAGCAATCTTCCAGCTTTTTGTGTTTTATAACATTGTTTTAATAACCCTGAAATCATGACTTGCACTGGGACCACGTTTTCATCAAGAGAAAATTTACAAGCAACTCGTTTCCAATGCATGGGACAGTAAAAACCAAACACCAGGGGCACACACACACAGAGGACAAAGTGTCATATTCACGTCTAATGAAACACCTTCATTAGAGAGAAGGAAACAGTGGGAGCATGAGGGGTTAAAATGGTCATCTGATGGTCAGCTGGACTGTCTCTGCAGAGGCTGGACTGGTGCTGGAGGATGGAGTCTGGCAACTTGCAGCAATAGTTAACCTGAGCGATTGGTGTATCCGCTGGAGGAAGACACCTAGACCCCACTAGAACATGGGCACGTTAGTCCGTCCTCCCTCAGGAAAGCTACAGTGTGGATGAGTGTTGGAGGCGCCTCTCCCGAATTCCAAGAGCACACTTCTGGAAGAGACCCCTCGGGAAGGAGGGGGATGTGAGAGGACAGAAGCCGGGCTGCTCCCGCGGCCGTTAAGGTTTCACGGGCACATCGCCGCCTCGGGAGCGGCACAAGGACCTGGGTGAGACAGTCCAGGAGACCTGCAGGGAGCTGACACGTCCTGGGCATCTCCTTCTGATCCTGCTAAGTGAGCCACAGACACCTGCAGACATCTGGGGAGCCGCCGTTTCCCTCGGGGCGCTGCGGAAGGCGGCGGACGCCAGGCATCCGTGCAGTTCACACCAAGAGTTCCTTTGAGCTCCACATCCCATTTTTCCAGAACTCCCCTTCCCTGAAACTGGCTCTGCAGGACTTGAGATTGTACATTCAGCATCAATACAGTGAGACAGGGGCACAGCTGGCACCGGACAGCGGGGACTCAGCAGCAGTTCGTGGACAGCGTCAGAGGATCCGTCACCACGGCAACCTTGGATCTGCTTGGATCTGCTCCACACTGTAGCTGCCCACAACCCAAATCCTAAAGGGTTTTCCAATTCCATTTCCAGACTCTTCCAACTCCAATAATTCTTAACATATACAGATATCCATATACAATTTTTTTTTTTAATTAAAAAGCTCCTTCACATACACAATCATATATTGAATTAGCAAGAACAATAATATATTTCTGGAGCAGAAAAAGCGAAAACATCTGCTCTGCCAGTGCCACCCACAAACTAGACAAGGAACTAAGAAGAAGTTTGACAGTTTCAGATCACTTAGGAAACAGAAATTCTCTTGGCCTTAAGACAGGGAGCCATGCAGTGAAGGTGCCATGGAGGGTACAGCAAATGCAATATACAGAAAAAACACAAATTGTTAAAAATGTTCTCCTGTAAAGATTCTGGAGCCACAGGGTGAGTCCTGATCATCAGGAGCTTTCTTTACAATTTGAGAAATACTGAATAGCACTGAAGCAGGAGAATGACACTGAAAATAAAGAGCTATGCCAACAGTAAAAGATTTGATTTTGGTCAAAAGCTGTATTCCCTTTAATATACCAGGGGGATGCTAAATATTGAGTGCATTTGATTTACAAAAAGCCATCACTGCCAACCCCGTGGAAGACTGAAACATCCAACTTCATAAGGGACTTTGATGTCTTGGCAACAAAACCTAAAGACACCAGAACCAAAAGCTTTCCTTGCCAAGGAAAAAATGCCCAACGAAATGCAAACCAAAACACCAAGGAAGGAAAAGAGAAGGAAACTCTCTTCCAAGAGTTACATTAGAAACGACTGGAAGAGTTAAAAAATAGGGAGGTGGGAAGGAGAACAGTAAAAAAGAGCTGTTCAACTTTGGGGCCAGGTCAATAAAATTGGCAGAACAGGCTGCAGACAGGGTTTTTTATCTGTTTCAATAACAGAAGTTACCCCCAAAGCTGAATTTGGGTATTTAAAACTCTATCATACCCACCAGCAAACTGCAACTCTGAAGTTGCCGGGGACCCCCCTGTCCCAAGGGTCTTCCTTATGGAATTATGGTTTATGGACAATCCCAGTGACAGCACAGGTGGTTGTTCAGGACTGGGAACCATTTTCTTATTAATCCAGCTGTCCATGGTAAGTTTTTTCCTTCTCAAATGGACTGGGGGAATGAGTTTCACCAGTACAAACTCGCACCCACCGAGACCCAGGGCCAGCCCTGCTGCACAGCACATTCAGCACCAGTTGCCCCAGTGCCACCAAGGGTCAGGAACTGGTCTGGTGGAGGTGGGAGCAGAACATACACTCAAGTTCAGATGAGGGAGGTGGAGCAAGGTTGGGATCTCCCCAGGAATCCTCGGCCCTTCATCTTCTGTGCCTCAGGTTGGCATGGTTGGGGTAGCGGGACCTTGGAGTGGTTACCCACTGCAAACACCTTCCTCAAGTCAAACCCTGAAAGGCCAAACATGAAAATATTTTGGTGTTCCTACCCCATTGCTCAGCTCAAAAATTTTACTGGCAATTTAGAGACATCCAGGTCCAGAAACTGGGAGGCTCTGGAATGACGGAGCAGGAGAGTCATCTCCAGCCTCGCGGCCTTCGCGGGGCTGACGAGTCACCTACGTTACTGAAGACATGGAAAAATGATAAAAACAGAATTTTAACATAAAAAATGGTTACTGCTGGTTCTGCAGTGCTTTTGGATGTGATGTGCAAAGCGTTCATGGAACAAGCTCATGAGTGTGTCACCAAAAAGCAGAGGGAGCGACCACAGGAGGGGTTTTCCTGGCTTACACGTCATCCTCGTTCAAAGTGAAAGAGTTAAACTTCTTCATGAAATACCTTTACAGATTTAACAACAAATATACTTTTAGTATCCCCTGCATAAAAGAAAAATACACATTATTTCAACAGCCAAGAAAAAACTGCAATTTATTAAGTTTCAAAGAATCTTCGTACTCTTGAAAGCAACTTTCGGTGCATGTTCTTTAACAATCACATTCTATGAGGAGAATAAACATTAAAAGCCACAATTGTTGGTTTTCTTTTTAATCTCAGAGTTACAGACATCTTTAATTCAAAAGGAAAAGGCAAAAAAAAAAAAAAAAAAAAAAAAAAGAAAAAAAAAAAGAAAAAAAAAAAGAAAGAAAAAAAAAAAAAGGAAAGAAACTGATAGAAGGGGCCGGCGACAATTCACGTGTAAATGTTTACTCAAGGACTCTTATTGCATTTTAAAAATT